CAATATACAGTAAGTACTGGCCAAGCAAACTCGGTACACTGGTGACACTTAGGTGGCACCGAATCATGCCATACTGGAGAGAATATGTGAAACTGAAAATTCAGATTTCTAAATGGAATCTGAAGGCAATACACGCCTCCCAGTGTGATCTGGCAAGTTTGGAGGAAGGAAGGAAAGATAAAAACTCACCAAACAGGCCACGTGTGTCTGCTACCACAGCTTGATGCCATGGTTGGCAGAACTCACCCACCTGCTGATCCTCAAGGGAGTGTTAGTAAGGACCACTACCTGTAAAAAATCATAGGACTGGGCTAAAAACCTGACACTGTAAGTAACAGAGAGAATAAGCACTAAGTTTTCCTCTGGTTAAACTCTCTTCCTCAAACTGTTGTATACTTCCTGTGTGGTCAGATTCGGAGGGTAAGAACTGGTGAAACAATATGAACTCTCAGAGACTATGACAAAAAATCAAAGATGACCTGTAAAGAATCTGATGAACAACTATTTTCATTTCTTTAACTAATACTCACTACTGCCTGTATTTTTTTGTGCTTGAGGGGTCAAAAAAAAAAAAAAAGCAACACACTATTCCAGTGAAAACATCTTGCGTTTATCTCCACCAAACCCTATTGCTCCAATACTTAAGAAAATAGTAGGGGCCACTGCCTGTGGTGTTGTAGGTTAAGCCTATGCCTGTGGTGCTGGAATCCCATATGGGCACAGTACGAATCCTAGCTGCTACACTTCTAATCCAGCTCCCAGGCTACGGCCTGGAAAAGAGGTGGAATATAGCTCGAGTGCATGGGCCCCATACCCACCGGGAGACCTGGATGAAACTCCTGGCTTCTGGTTTTGGATCAGCCCAGCTTTGGCAGCTTAAGCCATCGGGGAGTGAATTAGTGGATGGATAACCTCTCTGTGTCCCTCTCTCTCTGTAACTCTGCCTTTCAAACAAATAAATGATTCTTAAAATACTTATTCAGCCACAATCTATAGGATTTGTTTTTTATTGCCATCATTTATTCACCAGGATACTTCCAACTCCTACATCAGGGATCCTGTGCCCTAGTCCTCTAGTATAGAAAATCAGCTATTTAATTTTACTAAAAATTAGGCGCACTATTCCTAAGTCTCATAAATACTCTGTAAGGCCCACATTTCTGTGTATTCACAGGAAATAATAAGGCAGAAGAAGTCAAATGACTTTCTCTAGACCATACTCTAGGCTGGCGCTGCGGCTCACTAGGCTATCTCTGCCTTGCAGCGCCGGCACACCGGGTTCTAGTTCCGGTCGGGGCACCGATTCTGTCCCGTTGCCCCTCTTCCAGGCCAGCTCTCTGCTATGGCCTGGGAGTGCAGTGGAGGATGGCCCAAGTGCTTGGGCCCTGCACCCCATGGGAGACCAGGAGAAGTACCTGGCTCCTGCCATCGATCACCGGTGTGCCGGCCACAGAGCACCCCGGCGGCCATTGGAGGGTGAACCAACTGCAAAAGGAAGACTTTTGTCTTTGTCTCTCTCTCTCACTGTCCACTCTGTCAAAATAAATAAATAAATAAATAAAAAAAAAAATAGACCATACACTAGAAGAGTTCAGACTTAAACAGTAGCAGTTGAACTACAAAGTTCTACTACATAATCCACGTACCACAATGTATGGCCATATCTTCCTTTAAATAGATGAAAAAGGACAGCTCGGCTTCTCTTTGCAATAAACCTAAGCAATAAACCTAAGATACCAGGTCACCCTGCTAGTAAATATTTACTAAAGGAATCAGAACTAACATCTGGAAAAAAGATAAAGGCCTGCATATTACCTGGAAATCTCTAAGGAAGTCCTCAACAAACAGCGGTCCTGTATAGGTGCTGACAGGCACGTAGCTGTGAGTTCAGCAAGGCGGGGTTGGATACTTCAGCTCGGTTTTTACCAATATCTTCTTCCCGTAGGTAGTACTACAGTATTAAAAAAGAGAACTGAACTACATGAGGAGTCTAAGGAGTTTGTCTTTCCAATGGTTAAGAAAGCAGAAATGAGGTACCTGAGAAGAGAGATCAGCCCACTGGGCAGTGCCCTGGTCATGCAGGGTAACAGCTTTCACCCCACCAAGGATGATGTTCTTGGCGATCTCAACCCAGGCCCTGCAGGCCTGACACTAGCACACTGGATGTCTGAAGACGCTTCATTGCTTCATGACCCAGCACATACCTGCCAGATTCAGAGAGGCCTCTGGGTCAAACATAATCTTGCTGCACCTATTTTCAACACTCATCATTAGCTCTGGACCCACTTACAGCTGGCGGGAGTAAAGCCTTCATCTATGTCTGTTTCAATACTTTTCTGCATTCCCTATGGATGGAGGAGAGAAAAACAGAGTTGGGAAAACAGGCATTAATGGAACATGGAGAGATGGATAAAGGCACTTTCTTCAGATCATGCTACATACCCACTTCTCAGATTTCCATGGAGAAAACACTTACGTTGGTTGGTTCTGAGGGCACTTCCAACGTCACAGGGTAGGTAGGGAAACAGTGAGACTCTAGTGTTGAATCAGGCCCAGAAACACGGCGTTTCTTAGATGAGAGTGAGCTAGACATCTACCAGAAAGCCAGCATAAAACATAAGGTACTTAAGGATGGGATTTTTGTCAGAAGCAATTCTGGGAAAGAACAGAGCTTTAGTATTAATATACCATCTTTAAAGAAACACAGGACACGCTACTGAGGTTTCCTGAAGGAAAACTGAGGCTGAGTTTAAACAGTGTAGGGCCCAAATTATTAGATTCAAACTTGCTAGATGGAAAGTGAGGCTCAGGGGCCTGCATGGTGGCGCACTAGGTTAATCCTCCACCTGCAGCACCAGCATCTCATGGCGGCGCCAGGTTCTGGTCCCACTTGCTCTTCCTCCAGTTTCAGCTCTCTGCTGTGGCCCCGGAGGGCAGTGGAGGATGGCCCAAGTGCTTGGGCCCCTGCGCCCACATGGGAGACCAGGAGAAGCACCTGGCTCCTGGCTTCGGATCTGCGCAGCGTCGGCTGTTGCGGCCGTTTGGGGAGTGAACCAACGGAAGGAAGACCTTTCTCTCTGTCTCTCTCTGTCTCTCCTCACTGTCTTTAGTAACTCTACCTGCCAAATAAATAAATAAAAATCTTAAAAAAAAAAGTGAGGCTCAGTTTCACCACTCAGTAAATACGAACCCCATTTTGGACTTTTTTAAATTGTTTTACAAATTTTATTTGAATGTCAGTGAAAGAGAAACATAGAAAATGAGTCTCATGAATGTGAGATATCTCCCTTCCAGTGGTTCCCTTCCCAAATCCCCAAAACAGCCAGAGATGTGCCATGCCAAAGCCGGAGGCTGAATTGCAATCACAATGACCAGGATTTCAAACAGGCACTCTACTAAGGAATTTGGGTATCCCAAGTAGCAACTAATAATTGTCTCACATGTTGACCAGAAACATAATTTTTTTTTTTTTTTTTATTTTTTTGACAGGCAGAGTGGACAGTGAAGAGAGAGACAGAGAGAAAGGTCTTCCTTTGCCGTTGGTTCACCCTCCAATGGCCGCCGCGGCCAGCGCGCTGCGGCCGGCGCACCGCGCTGATCCGATGGCAGGAGCCAGGAGCCAGGTGCTTTTCCTGGTCTCCCATGGGGTGCAGGGCCCAAGCACCTGGGCCATCCTCCACTGCACTCCCTGGCCACACGCAGAGAGCTGGCCTGGAAGAGGGGCAACCGGGACAGAATCCGGCGCCCCAACCGGGACTAGAACCCGGTGTGCCGGCGCCGCTAGGCGGAGGATTAGCCTAGTGAGCTGCGGCGCCGGCCCCAGAAACATAATTTTAAACTCTGATTTTTAAAGCGATTTATTTATTTATTTTATTTATTCACTTGAAAATCATACTTATAAGCAGGGGAGACAGGGAGAGAGACAGACACATTCTCCATCTGCTGGCTCACTCCCCTCATGCCCCAATGGGAACGGGGCTAGCACAAAGCCAGGAGCTTTATCCATTTCCCATATTGTAGCTGGGGCCCAAACACTTGCGCTACCATCTCCTGCTTCTCCTCCAAGGCCATTAACAGGGAGCTGGATTTGAAGTGCAGCAACCTGCACATGGACAAGCATGCACAGGGGATGCCAGCTTTGCAGGTACCAGCTTCTACACCCTTTTAAGAGAACACAGGTGAGGCCGGCGCCGCGGCTCACTAGGCTAATCCTCCGCCTAGCGGCGCCGGCACACCGGGTTCTAGTCCCGGTCGGGGTGCCGGATTCTGTCCCGGTTGCCCCTCTTCCAGGCCAGCTCTCTGCGTGTGGCCAGGGAGTGCAGTGGAGGATGGCCCAGGTGCTTGGGCCCTGCACCCCATGGGAGACCAGGAAAAGCACCTGGCTCCTGGCTCCTGCCATCGGATCAGCGCGGTGCGCCGGTTGCAGCGCAGCGGCCGCGGCGGCCCTTGGAGGGTGAACCAACGGCAAAGGAAGACCTTTCTCTCTGTCTCTCTTTCTCACTGTCCACTCTGCCTGTCAAAAAAATTAAAAAAAAAAAAAAAAAAAGAGAACACAGGTGGACATCCAGCAGGGGAGCTGAAGGGGGGGGGGTCTCACAATTAATAACAAATTTGATAGGATCTGTGAGGGAAAAATACTAGTGGGAATGGTATAGACTTCTGATAACTATGAGTCCAAACATGTATTTCTTTGATGTACGGTCTTTGGGGTACATCTTAGGGGAGACACTGAGAGTTTTCTGAAAAGAATTCTGACACCCTGCGGAGAATAGTATTCCATAAAAGTATATCCTGGAAGTGTGCCTCTAAATGGCTAGTGAAGAAGAGTTTCCATTGGAAGGTGATGTAATTTGCATTGTGGAGGTGGGGCCAATATTGGGTGTAGGGGTCTTCCTAACGGTCAGTTCATGGAAGTCTCCAAAGGCAGATTTTGGATTTGACAACTTTCTAAAAACTAATTTAAACGATCCAAATAGAATTTCTGGGCTACACAGAAAGTACAACCAAAAATGAGATCTCAGAGGCAAAGTAAATACGGTCTGCCACAGAGCCTGGTCCTGCTTTAGCTCCTAAGTTAATCTGGGGGTCAAACAGCAAGGGAAGAGATATATCTGAAGGAAAATGTCATATAAAGTTCTACATTGGGGGGAAGCTAAAAAGCAAACTAATCTTCCTTAGAATTTGGTCTCTGTTAGAAGCTGTGGGACAAATACGGGAGGGTCAGGGCGCCTAAGGATTTTAAAGACCCTACAGAGGAAGTAAAGACCACGAAGATTCAAAAGTGAAACGCTACAGGAAACATTCAGATATCAGACGCTAGGACCGGCAGAATATGGTTCCAGGCTCAGAGCAGTAAAGCCTGATACACTAAAACATGAGCCCTGGTATGTGGGTTGATTAAATGCGTGTCAGCTAAATCCCAGAATCAGTTGTGTTTGGGCGCCCCCTCTCCAAAACCTGCTTTCCTTTTCCCCTCCCCCAGTCTGCATTTCCAGGCTCTGTTCCTCCTTTCCAAACTGAACTTCCTCTCCCCCACCTCTGTGGGCACGCCTCCCTGCCTCTCCTCCCCCATTCCCTGCCGCCTGTTCTACTCGTCATTTCCCTCCTCGCCCCTCTGCATCTTCTAATTCCTCTACTCCCACTGTTTCTGCTTGTAAGCCCCCTCTCCACGCTGTCCTCCCTCCCTCCCGATTCTCGCTTTCCAACCTGCCCTCAAAAAAGCGTTTGCGCCACAACAGCCCGGCTCAGCGACTACGCAGGCCCTTTCAATGCCCCAACATCTACTAGCAGTGATAAAGCAAGAAAGGCTGTAAGTTACCAGATGCCGTTTTCTGATTCTTCCGCTGTGGTGGACACCTCAACGAGCCAAGGTCAGTCACACGCTGCCGCCGTCTCCCTACTGCTCCCTGCTGGCTTGACCAGCTAGACTTGGGGCTGTCGCCTTCCACTCCAAAGCCGTTGAAATTGTTGTCCTCCTTCACTAGGCGCTGAAGAAAGATGGCGACCGCCAAACCGGAAGCTGAGCAATATGTTTGTTGGATTCGGTGACCAGGATGTAGGAGGACCACGCCTCCTTATGAATTATGCATGACGTCATCAACGCCTAACTAACATAAAAGTGAGAACGAGGATAGCGGTTCTGCCTCATGGCTGGAGTTACTAAAATTGTTAAGACTTAGATATAAATGTATGTTCAGTGACTAACGATAAGATGGTAAGACATAAATAGGTTTTTGGTCACAAATCGTACATCACAGTGGGTAGTAGGGAACTCAGAAATTCAATTTTTAAAAAAAGACAACAAAGGCAAATGGCAAGTAAAGCGGAAGAGATCGACATTTTCCAGAACTGAAAAGCAGTTATTTCTAAATTTTAATTAATAATCTCTGGCCAGGGATTCACGATTTCTTTCAGACTCCTAAAATTATACTTGAGGAGAAACCAATGCCTCATTTCCTCTTCTGTAAAGCTGATAACAGGATGAATTATGGAGTTTGAGATTTAAATGTTGAATGTCATTTATGGAAATAAGAAAATAAAAGCACATGCATTCTGTGTTGCAAACTCCAAATGTCAAATTTAAAATAATAGTTGATATAAATGTTACATTATTAGATAAGTTATGTGCTAATATAATTTTGAATTAGACATCATGCAAATCTGCAACTTCAGGCTTTTAAGTCACAAAGAATGGGCACACTGATGCAAGACCAGTGTTGTAGTGCAGTGGGTTAACCTGTTGCTTGTAACATTGGCATCCCTGTAACACCAGTGTGTCTCTTTGCTACTTCACACCTACCTTCCTGCTAATGTGCCATTGAGTATATTTTGTAAAGTTCACCTATGTTGCAGCACTGATTAGTATGTTGTTCATTTACCCATGAAATGATTGCTGAACATCTGGATCCTTTCATCACTTACCTATGGGGAATATTGCTGCTTAAAAATACACTTGCACATGGATCTCTTTAGATAGCTGTTTCCAATTTTTCTATTGATAGAAGTGGAGCTTCTGGGACACATGATAATTTCTATTTTTTACATTGGAGGAACAGCAAAACTATTTTCCACAGAAGGAACCCTACTGGCAATTCCCACTGTTTTTCATACCTTTGTCAGTAATTGTCATTTCTGATTAAAAATGTATATCTATCTGTTATATATTAATGTCAGCCGTCGCAAAACACACCAAACACCTGAGTAAGGGAAAGGGTTTACTGGGGAACACCCTACAGACCGGAGTGAAGGGGCAGCAAAGGAAAAAGAGAGAAAGAGAGTATAAGAGAGAGACAGAGGAGAGAAGATAGAGAGATGAGCCAAGAGAGAGGAGAGAGCGCAGGAGAGAAGAGCCAGGAGTGCAGGAGAGCAGAGCCAAGAGAACATGTGTGCAGGAACAGGCCCTTTTAAAACTTTGCCTGAGGGCGGGCAGGGAAGCAGGAGCAGCGAATCCCATTAGGATGGGGGTGGAGCCTGGCTCAGGTAGCTGGGCCATGCGGCCACCTGGCTACAACTGCGCCAGTTTCCTAACACTATCCAATATGTGTGAGGTAATAAAATGGTACTTATTTATAGTTTCCTAATAACTAATGAAAATGACCATTTTTCATATATTTTTCATCACTTTCTTTGTAAAAAAAAACCTGTATGTCATTTTTTAACTTTTTAAAAAAAAATACTTACTTGTTTATTTGAAAGGCAGAGCCACAGAAAGAGAGACAGAGAGATAAAGAGATCTTCCATCCACTGGCTCACTCACCAAATGGCCACAATGGCTAGGGCTGGGCCAAGCTGAAGCCAGGAGCTGGGAGCTTCTTCTAGGTCTCCCATGTGGGTGCAGGGGCCCAATGACTTGGGTCATCCTCTACTGCTTTCCTAAGAATATTAGATCATAAGTAGAATACCTAGGTCATGAACTGCTGGTTGTACAGTAAGAACACATTTAATATTACTGAACAAACGTAAATGAATATGGAGAAAACATATGGTATCTATCTTTTGGTACTGGCTTATTTCACTAAGTATAATGCTTTCCAGTTGCATCCATTTTGTTACAAAAGACAGGATTTCAATTTTATGGCTGTGTAGTATTCCATAGTGTATATATACCACATTTTCTTTATCACTGCAGTTTCTGAAGGCCTGTTTCTATAAAGCATTTGAAATAAAAATAGGCCGGCGCTGTGGCTCACTAGGCTAATCCTCCACCTGCAGCGCCGGCACCCTGGGTTCTAGTCCCGGTCAGGGCGCGGGATTCTGTCCCGGTTGCTCCTCTTTCAGTCCAGCCCTCTGCTGTGGCCTGGGAGTGCAGTGGAGGATGGCCCAGGTCCTTGGGCCCTGCACCCACATGGGAGACCAGGAGAAGCACCTGGCTCCTGGCTTTGGATCAGCACGGTGTGCCGGCCACAGCACGCCAGCCGCAGCGGCCACTGGGGGGTGAACCAACCAAAAAGGAAGACCTTTCTCTTCTCTCTGTCTCTCTCTCTCTCTCTCACTGTCCACTCTGCCTGTCAAAAAAAAAAAAGTACTACAAAAAAAAAAGAAATAAAAATAAAAATATAGTATAATATGGATAAGACAGGTAGTTAGATTAGGGCCATAAACTGGAAAACACACTCCCCACCACACCCTGTGTAACACTACCTTCGTGCCTAAGTCAAATCACTCCCTTCCCAGGATGTACCTCCTTTCACCTGGGACCTGGTAGAGGTGCTAGTTAACCACTCCCCTTTAAACTTTATAAGACAGGGTGTCTAGCTGCAATAAACATGGGGGTGCAGATCACTTTACATTTAAGCACATTTATCTCAATTGCTTTATAACTTTGCATTTAGAATTATACCTGGATGACTGAAGGTGCTGGTATTTTATCATACCTCTATCTAAATTAAGGTCAAAATTGCATCTATTCAATATTGAATTCTACTTCTTTTTATGAAACTCTAGCTTTAAATCAGCAACATGAAAACAGACATTGGAAAGTCCACCTTAGGGGCTGTATACTTATATCCATTGCTATATAATGGGAAAGCTGTTAAAACCAAATTGCAAACCATGTTTGGCAAGTTACAAAACAATATTTTAAAGGCAGTGATTTTCCTAGATTCAAGAAATTCTTTTAAAACCAATGTCCAGCTACAGCTGAACGAAATTTCATGTACAAGATTGTTATTTACCTAACACATGTTTTTAGAGTTTAATTGAATTTGAGTTTAGTGTTCCACTGGAGATTGTTCATCATGTTAGGTTTAATAGGGGAGAGCATTCATCAGAGTAGAAGGATACCCCTCTGGTTGGAGAGATTTTTAAAGGGAAGAATCTGATAGGTGACAGAGTAAGGGGCAACTAGGGAAAAGGAGACATGTCTGAAAATAGTAATTAACCAGGTAGGCATGCTGGTTTGAAGGGCTAGTAGTCATTATTATTTCACAGAGATTGGAAGATACCTTAAGAGTAATGTTGTCTTTGAAGGGGACCTTAGAGCTGAGTCTGCCCATACAGAGAGCAGGGCGTGTTTGAAATTAAGTTTAAAGAGCAGAGCTGCTTGTTGGGGCACTTGTAGAGCACTGCAAGGACTCTGATAAGGAAGGCAGAAGATGCAAGGAAGGCTCTTTGGTGAGGTTTACTGTGTATTTTTTAGCAGTTTAGGCTTTTACGCAGGAGAGAGTGTCAGAACGGAGGAGGGGGGTTTAGGAAGAGAGAGGTAGTTTTCGCTGTTAACCCAGTGCTAATAATGAAATGTCTAGGAAATGCTCACTACTAGGACCAGGAAATTGAGTTTGTAGGAATTGAGGAGACCTGGCAAGGCCAACTTGACATTCAATTAGGGATAAAACCTATCAAAAGATCTGATAATCACACCTGGCTTGCTCATGACAAAGCAACGAGCTATTAGAAGGGTGAAGATAGGTGATTTGATTACAGTAGATTGTTAGCTCAAGAGGATGGACTCACCACTCCCTTGCTATTCTTATGGTAAAATTGGAACAGAGGGAGGAGTGAAGGTTATTGGAGGACCTGGGCTAGAGGGTGATGGCATGGAGACAACCTGTTCCTGAACTTGCCTTTGCTTATCCAGGAGGGTGTTAGAGAGGATCATAGATAAGGCAAAGGGAGTAGACAAGGTGGGCAGTAGACCTAAAGGGCTGGTTCTGAGATAAGGTTGGGATTCTTAGGTGGGAGAAAGGAGGTATGGTGAATGAGACAGTGAAGAGCTAGAAAGGGGCTTGGCTAGTAAGGGCTTTGGAAGTAATAGAACTTGAGCTGAAGAACGTGAGGTATGAAGAGAAGGTTTAGACAGCACGCTTGCCTCAGAATCAGCCCTTACGGCATTCGGACCTGGCTAAAAAGCCCATGAGAGTTTCCCAGGCATGGAAAGACAAGACACTGCAAAAATGACCTAATTGAAAGATCTCTGTGAGTGAGATCCCAGTGGAAAAAAACGGGCCATCAAAGAAGGAGGTACCTTCCTCTGAAGGAGGAGAGAACTTCCACTTTGACTATGGGCCTTGTCTAAATAAGGTCACAATTGTGGACTCAAGAGGCTTCCACAGCCTTGGCAGCTCGTGACAAGAGCCTCGGGTGATTACTGACATCACAAATAAGAGTGTCAATTGTTAAATCAAGAACAGGGTCACTGTGCACTTATTCCCCACATAGGATCTCTGTCCTTAATGTGTCGTACTGAGAATTAACGGTAAAATTAGTCTTCAAACAGTACCCTACACTTTGTGTGTCTGTGTGGGTGCAGTCTGTTGAAATCTTACCTAGTATATACTAAATTGATGTTCTCTATATAAGATAATTGAAATGAATCTGATGAAGAATGGGATGGGAGAGGGAGTGGGAGATGGGATGGTTGCGGATGGGACAGTGGTTATGGGGGGGAAAACCACTATAATCCAAAAGTTTTACTTTTCTTTTTTTTTTTTTTTTTTTTTTTTGACAGGCAGAGGGGACAGTGAGAGAGAGAGAGACAGAGAGAAAGGTCTTCCTTTGCCGTTGGTTCACCCTCCAATGGCCGCCGCGGCCAGCGCGATGCGGCCGGCGCACCGCGCTGATCCGATGGCAGGAGCCAGGAGCCAGGTGCTTTTCCTGGTCTCCCATGGGGTGCAGGGCCCAAGCACCTGGGCCATCCTCCACTGCACTCCCGGGCCACAGCAGAGGGCTGGCCTGGAAGAGGGGCAACCGGGACAGAATCCGGCGCCCCGACCGGGACTAGAACCCGGGTGTGCCGGCGCCGCTAGGCGGAGGATTAGCCTAGTGAGCCGCGGCGCCGGCCTAAGTTTTACTTTTGAAATTTATATTTATTAAATAAAAGTTTTCTAAAATAAAAAATTATAAAAAAAGGTTTAGAGAGAGATAGGAGAAAGCTTAGATATACGGAATCTACTTTCACTTTCCCAAACACCCACAGATTCCCGAGTGTCAGAGTCAAATTGTGCCATTAAGTGGCCATTTTAACTGGCTGTTGAGGTCATACATGGGCCTCGCCTGATACCAAAAAGAGGCAATGACATTTGAGATTTGGAGGCAATTTAAGAGGGGCTAAATTGTTTAGGAGACAACTGAGAGGAGAATCAGATGGAATGTGGGATGAGGAAGCTCCCATGGCGACCTGTGAGTCAGACTGGTGGTTATCAGGTATCCACAAGATCATGGCTGTCTGAAAGGGAGGGTACAGGAACAGAGAGTTGGGATCATCACCCATGTAGCCATTGGCGCCTATGGCCTAAAGCCCATGGAAGGCCTACAGTCCATGGATGGCTTAAAGTCCGTGGAAAGGCATAAAGCCCGTGGAGAGGCATAAAGCCTTGGGAGTTGTGGTGCCTGGTACCAGGACTTCAAGACAACACAGAGCAAAACCACAATCCGTGGTAAAAGTCACAGTGGGAGAATTCCCCATTCCCCATCTTTCTTGAGGATTCTGAATGGCAAGTGTGCGGATGGAAATCACAGAACATTTGTAATGAAGGTAGCCCAAGGAGTGAGTTTGTGGTTGGCAACAGGCCAGGATCCCAAAGCCTCCCAAATCACCAAGGGGAGAACGAGGTCCACAGAGAACTTGGATCCAAGTCACAGAAGCAATGGAGGGCCACCACAAAACACCAAACATTAAAGTTAAAGGAAAGGTATGTTGCTGGGTGGGAAACAGGCTGGAGGAAGAGGCAGAAAAGGGGAGAACGATCAGGAGCACGTGTATGGGCAGCAGGTTTTGTTATAGCCTTAGAGAAGGTAGGCAAATGGAAGCAATGAATCTCATTAGGGTGGAGGTGGAGCTGATGCTTGTGGTTGGGCCATTTGGTCACCTGACATTTAGCAAGCCAGGCTGGGCTTAGGACCAAAGTTTACTATACAAGATGGCAATGGGGTCATAGCCTAAGATGGTGCCTGGGGCTTAGATGGTGCCACGCATAAGACTGCACCATTTTACTAACACCACTTGATGCTCTAATCTGTCATTTAACAATTTTTAAACCTAAGTAGTGTATTAAATTCTTTTTTTTAATTTTTTTGACAGGCAGAGTGGACAGTGAGAGAGAGAGAGAGAAAGGTCTTCCTTTGCCGTTGGTTCACCCTCCAGTGGCCACCACGGCCGGCGCACCGCGCTGATCTGAAGCCAGGAGCCAGGTGCTTCTCCTGGTCTCCCATGGGGTGCAGGGCCCAAGGACTTGGGCCATCCTCCACTGCACTCCTGGCCACAGCAGAGAGCTGGCCTGGAAGAGGGGCAACTGGGACAGAATCTGGCACCCCGACCGGGACTAGAACCCGGTGTGCCAGTGCCACAAGGCGGAGGATTAGCCTAGTGAGCCGCGGCGCTGGCCTTAAATTTCTTATATGCTATATGCTTTTTGAGTTTTTACACAAAGAACTGGTATTATGGGGTAGAAGATAGAATTGCTGCCTGCAAAGCCAGCATCCTATAATGGGCACTGATTATTCTATCAGCTGCACCATTTCCAATCCAGTCCCCTGCTAATTAACCTGGAACAACAGCAGAAGATGGTCCAAGTAGTTGAGCACATTTAGTCAAGTGAGAGACCCCTATAAGCTTCCTGGCTTCAACCTGGCCCAGCCCCAGCCATTGTGGACAGTTGGGAAGTTAACTAACAGATGGAAGATCCCTCTCTCTCATTTTCTCCTCCTCTAATTCTGGCTTTTAAATCAATAAACCTTAAAGGAAGTTTTTACATGAATTTCAAATGTTGAAGCCTCTTTATTTCCTATTCATGATCTTCAGCTGAATTTGCTAAAAACCCTAACTGTGCCACATTATTACCAATTTTAAGAACATAAATTTTTATTTAAATCATTTTCAACTATTTCAAGAATTAATTTGAACTCCTAAATAGCCTTGTACTCCAATATTTCTAACCTGGCAATACTTATTTTATTAAGAAATGTATTAAACTGAGTTAGTTCAGATTTGATTTAAATGGAAATTAAGGGTTCCAGTAACTCTCATTTCAGTCATTTAGTTCTCTAATTTGGATACAAAAAATATTTTTTTCCAGTTTGTTCAATTTCAGTATGAGTCTTTCCTTTCCTAGCATAGCAGTTAATTGCCTATAACCATCACCCAATTGTCTGGGAAACATTACTGTATCTTTCAATTCCATTTTCCTGCCATGTATCAGGACACACACACACACACAAAAACTTAGTATTAGGACAGTGATTATTTTTTAAGATTTATTTACTTTACTTGAAAGTTAGAGTTACACAGGGAGAGGAGAAGCAGAGAGAGGTCCCCCATCTTCTGGTTCACTCCCCAATTGGCTGCAATGGCCAGAGCTGCACTGATCTGAAGCTCCACCAGGTGCTTCTCCCAGGTCTCCCACATGGGTGCAGGGGCCCAAGGACTTGGGCCATCTTCCACAGCTTTCCCAGGCCACAGCAGAGAGCTGGCTGGAAGTGGAGCAGCCGGTCTCAATCCAGCTCCTGTATGAGATGCTGGCACTGCAGGCAGCAGCTTACTTGCTACACCACAGTGCTGGTCCATGGACAATGAGTTTTAAAGCCATTCTGGAGACTTCTCAAACCTTTTTACATGTTTCACTTTTTAAAAAGAGCAACTTAATGATTTGCTTATCCTGCTTAATTAAGGCCATCTTGCCATGAAGAAATTTAATGACACAAATGAAATTTCAAATACAAGGGTACTTTTAAAAAACTCATTAGTTTAGAGTTGGCATTGTAGTACAGGAGGTTAGAGCCGCCTCCTGCGATGGCAGGCACCTAATATGGGTGCTGGTTTGAGTCCTGGCTGCTCCACTTCCAGTCCAGCTCCCTGCTCACACATCTGGGAAATCGGCAGAAGATGGTCCAAGTGCTTAGGCCTCTTGCCACCCATGTGGGATACCAAGGTGAAGCTCCGGTTCAGTCCAGCCCGGGTTATTATGGCCACTTGGAGAGTAAATCAGTGGATGTAAAACAGTCTCACCCTCTTTCTTTTCTTTCTTTCTTTCTTTCTTTCTTTCTTTCTTTCTTTCTTTCTTTCTTTCTTTCTTTCTTTCTTTCTTTCTTTCTTTCTGACAGGCAGAGTGTGGACAGTGAGAGAGAAAGAGAGAGAGAGAGACAGACAGAGAGACAGACAGAGAGAGACAGAGAGAAAGGTCTTCCTTTTTGGTTGGTTCGCCCCCCAGTAGCCACTGCGGCCAGAGCGCTGCGGCCGGCACACCGCGCTGATCCGAAGCCAGGAGCCACTCGCCTCTCCTGGTCTCCCAAGGACTTGGGCCATCCTCCATTGCACTCCCAGGCCACAGCAGAGAGCTGGACTGGAAGAAAGGAGCAACCGGGACAGAATCCAGCACCCCAACCGGGTCTAGAACCTGGGGTGCTGGCGCCGCACGTGGAGGATTAGCCTATTGAGCCACGGTGCCGGCTCACCCTCTTTCAAGTAATTATTTCTTTATAATATAAAGATAGTTTAAGGGCTGGTGTAGTGACATACATGCACAAAGAACAATGCAACGGGACACAGGGTTTTGTGCAAACTTTTATTCTAAGAACTTTTAACAGTACAAACACTCTCAGAAGAAACGTTTATTTCTCAACAGCGACACTGACATTACTTTAAACAAATCTATCTATATATTGTAAAAGGGAAAAGTCACAGAAGAGAAGTTAATATATGCCCCCTCCTCCAAACCAAGGTATTTCTTTTAATAGCTAGTACTTACAACACAAGAAAGTACGCATTTAAATTTTCTGTCTGCAAAGGAAGTTTGGCAAACAAGTGTAATTTTTGTTTTAGTACCTTCTTCGTCCTCCTCTTTCAGACTGGCCTCTCCCCTGACTGCCTCTAGAAGCCCCACAACTTGAACTACCATATGATCCATGAGGAACATAGTACACCCTGTCCAGAGAAGGTGGGAACCCTCGTTCCCGTCTGCTACCACGTGCACGACCAGTTGGATACATGTCACTTCGACTGCTTGAGTAACTGTCCCGATTTCCACCATATCCATCTCGTGTACTGTTACAATCTTCGTAACGATTGTTTCCACTGTAAGTCAGTGGAGGCCCTCGTGCAGATAGTACGCCACGGGAATTCCCTGCAGTTCAATGATCAGAAAGCAAACTTCAACACTTTTTGGGTATCATTACACCATGATACTGGTTATTAAACAGTTGAGAAACATTGCTTTTATCTGCCTCTAATGAACATCAATTAAGCTGAAGTAGGCAGGGGTCTTAAGTTGAAAGTAACAAATATTTACTCCTCTGAAAACAGAGTGAATTTTAATGTTTCATGCAGATCCTATACATAACATTGTCACACTCATTATTTAAAATGTAAAGATTAAACTTCCCAATGGGAGGAAAGATTAACTTCATTAATAGCAAACTGTTTGGCTCAATATTCTCAATCTAGTCAAGAGACCATAATAGACAATTTACATTTTGTGAGTAAAATTATATTCACCATGTGGCTGGTTTTAGCTAATCTATACTACACAAATCAAATTGGACACTTACCATAATTGTCAAATGCATCTCTATAAAAGCCTCTACTTGGATGCTCAGAATAATCTCTATTGCGACCATAGCCACCACGGTCACTAGATTAGGAAAGATTTAATTAATTTAAAAATTACCAATTTCAGTAACATAATTGATAAGCACAGAATTTCAAGGTACCTATATCCTCTAGAGAAATGTTCATCCAGAGGACTAGAATGGCCATAATCATGGTACACAACGTCTCTAGTTGGAGGACCATAATCCTTGCTTCTTGGGAACCTGGATAATCTCTGTAACTTAAAGCAGTGGGTTTTAAAATATTAATTTCTAAAGTACAAAACACAAAAACACTATCTCTTAAACACACACAAAAAATCAGCGAAGTTATTGAACAGTATTCCTTCAAATACTACATACAAATGGGCTAAAAGTACATGACACAACTCCGTAATTCATTAGGAAAATGAAAATGATGACCAAATAAAGACATGTTTCCTATCTACTACAAAGTCTATACTAAAAAAAAAAAATTTGAAAAAGGGGCCAGCTCTGCGGCACAGTGAGTTGTTCCTCTGCCAGTGGCACCGGCATCCATATAGGTGCCAGTTCTAGTCCCTGCTGCCCCTCTTCCAATCCAGCTCTCTGACATGGCCTGGGATAGCAGTAGAGGATGGTCCAAGTCCTTGGGCCCCTGCACCTGCACAGGAGACCCGGCAGGAAACACCTGGCTCCTGGCTTCGGATCAGCCCAGCTCTGGCCACTGCAGCCATCTGGGGAGTGAACCAACAGAAGGAAGACCTTTCTCTTTCTATCTCTCCCTCTCACTGTCTGTATGCTATCTTTCAAATAAATAAATAAAATCTTTTTAAAAATGGAAAAAAGAGAGGATATAAACACACTGGGATCCTAGAGTATTGGTAATATAAAATAAACTGGTGCAACTGCTATGTTGTAATTTAATGACTCATCAAAAAATTAAACCTAATTATTACTTCCCTCAATAATTGCAGTTATTTATGTATATATCCAAAGTAACTGGAAACAGATACTCAAATATGATTTGAATGATCCTAGGAATATTATGTTAGAAAAGAACTTAAATAGGGTGAGGCTGTGGCACAGAAGGTAAGACCACCGCCTGCAGTGCTGGCATCCCATATGTTAGCATCTGCTTTGAGTCCTGGCTGCTCCACTTCTGATCCAGCTCTCTGCTATAGCCTGGCAAAGCAGTAGAAGATGATCCACTTTCTTGGGCCCCTGCATCCAAGAGGGAGACTCAGAATAAGCTTTTGTTCCTGGCTGTGGACCAGCTCAGCTCCGGCTGTTCCAGACATTTGGGGATTGAAACAGTGAATGAGAGATCTCTGTTTCTACTTGTCTGTAACTCTTTCAAATAAATAAAAGAAATAAAATAACATAAGTACCAAATACATGCTATAATGTCAGCGAATCTTAAAACATGCTAAGGAAAAGGAGACACAAAAGATCACATGAACTATCCTCTATAGATCATACAGATAAAATAAACATGCTATTTGTCAGGGGTTTGAGAGGGGGGGGAACTTTGGGACTGTAATGTTTAATTGGTAAAGATTTTCTCTGGTGTAAGGCAATATTTTGAGGTCTAAATGGAAGTGGCTCTTACATAATACCAAACTGTTAATTTTAAAATTAAAAACTGATTTCCTTTACCTATCTTTTGCAGCATAACCACCACCTCTTGGTGACACATAGTAATCTCTCCGGGAAGACACTGGCTTTCTACGCGGTAGATCTCCATAATTCTCTCTCCCGCGTGATTCAGGACCTTAGTTTCAACATCATAACATTAAGTACCTCAAAGAACATTTTTTCCTCTTTACAGAAGTCAAAAATTATTCCAAGACTCCATCAATGCTTTTTCTGTTTACCGCTTAAACGTTATTCACATTTTTTTTCTTGTTATGTTCCCTCTCTACACAGAAAGTTTTAAAATAATGTTACCTTATGTAGACAAAACCTCAAAAATAAGATTACTTACACATTTTCCTTCATTGAATGTCTCCTTCTGTTCCTTTTGCACTTGACTATCCTTCCCTTGCATGTGTCATCATTTCAGTTATCTATCCCTTCTCATCACATCAAATTATTCTTAAAAACTTGTCTTCACTCTTACTGCTTATAATTGTTCATCATACTGGTCCATTATTCCTGTTCTTTTTACTATTCAAATTTCAAACACAAAATTAAACCAAGTAATTACAATTTAGTGTAAAGACTAGTTGAAACAAATCTGTCACTATCCTTTCAACCTGTTTTCTTTTTTTAAAAGCCTCAGTATACTCCAGTCTTCTGCTGTTTAACTCATTTGTTTTTACATACCAGCATTGGCAACTTAGTGCAACAAAACCTTTTTGTAAATACAGATGCTTCTCATAATTTAGTTCTAAGTCAAAATCCTCCTTAAGTTAAATATGAATTTAATATATTATATCTCCTGAACATCGCAGCCAGTTACTAACACAACATACTTCTACAGAAATATAAGATCACAGGGTTACTGGGAACTGCAGCTTACTTTCACTACCCCGTATCAGAGGAGAGTAAAAGATCACCTATCACCAGCCAGGAAAATAGCAAAATTCAAAATTTGAAAGTACATAGTTCTTTCACATTATGGTAGAGTGGAAAAATCTGAATTCAGGCTACTGTAAACTTTGGAAACTATTTCTTATTTTTGTTTTACATAACTGCCTCATTTTCAAAAATTTCACTTTTTTCTGTAGCCACCCTCAGTTTTTAAAGGACCTAAGTTATCCCTTAACATACTTCTTTCTTTTTCCTTTAGAGTCTTTCAAAATAAAGTTCTGTATCACATTAATCCTCTTTCCCATTCATTCTCCTAACAAGACTTTGTTATATTTTATGTTTTATACTATATATTCTCTTTGCCTTTGCATATTTTTAAAAGATTTATTTGTCATTTGAAAGAGTTACACCGATGAGAAAAGGAGAGTCAGAGAGAGAGAGAGAGAGAGAGAGGAGAGAGAGAGAGAGAGAGAAAGGTCTTCCATCTGCTGGGTTCATTTCCCAACTGGCTGCAATGGCCAAAGCCGCGCTGATGCGAAGCCAGGGCCGGGAGCTTCTTCCAGGTCTCCCATGTGGGTGCAGGGCCCAAGGACTTGGGCCATCCTCTACTGCTTCCCAGGCCATAGCAGAGAGCTGGATTGGAAGTGGAGCAGGCCGGGTCTCGAACCAGCACCACATGAGATGCCAGCACTGCCGGCAGCGGCTTTACCCGCTACGCTACAGTGCCAGCCCACTGCCTTTGCATATTCTAATGTCTCCCCCTGCCCTGCCCTACCCTGAATGGCTAAAGTATGTAACTCAGGAAAATTTCTCATAGTTGTATGTATCTTAATATGCCTTCAGGACCAATGATTCTCATAAACAAGCAGCAAATGAAACACCCAATTTTAGTGCTTAAAAACTTCTTTAGAAAGACTTTCTGGGGGGCCAACGTTGTCTCACAGCACATTTATCTACCACCTGCAAGTCTGGTTCCCATGTCAGAAAACCAGCTCAATTCCTGGCTACTCTGTTTTTTAATCAGTTTCTTGCTAACGTATCTAGAGAGAAAGCAGAGGATGGCCCGTATTTAGCACCTTGTCACCTATTGTGAGAGATCAGGATGGAGTTTCCTGTTCCTGAATCTTTCTGGCCCAGCCCTTACTGTTGCAGCCCTTTGGGAAATGAACCACCAGATGGTAATTTGCTACTCTGCCTTTCCAATAAATTATATTAAAATCCAGGGCGGTGCTATAGATCAGTATGTTAACCTCCCGCCTGCAGTGCTGGCAAGCCATATGGACACCAGGTTCTAGTCCCGGCTGCTTCTCTCCCAATCTAGTTCTCTGCTATGGCCTGGGAAAGCAGGAGAAGATGGCCCAATTCCTTTGGGCCCTGCACCTGCATGGGAGAAGACCTGGAAGAAGCTCCTGCTCCTGGCTTCGGATCAGTGCAGCTCCGGCCATTTCAGCCATTTGGGGAGCGAACCAACGGAAGGAAGACCTTTCTCTCTGTCTTTCCCTCTCACTGCCTGTAACTCTACCTCTCCAATAAGTAAATAAAATCTTTAAAAAACATTTTTGCATCTTCATTATTCCTTTACATATGAAATATATTTTAAATGCTTGTTTTTAAATTAAAAATAAACAATTTTGAAGCAAAAGAACAAACTCTCATCCCCCTCTCCAAATGCCCCACAAAAGCCACAGAGGAAGTTGAAAGAGAGATCTGAATCCAGGTTCCCTACTGTTTGGCAGGAACTCCATTACTTATCAGTCAGCACTACCTTCTGCAGGTCTGCATTAACAGGAGGGTGGGACCTGAACTGAAAAATGAACTTAAGTAGTACAATGTGGGACACTATCTTCATTGCATCTTAACTGTTAGGGTAAATAAGAGCTCCCTACTAATGAATATTAATGACAAAAAGTAAACATTCAAACTAATTTACTTCATAGAGTTCATTTTTTATTTTTTATTTCTTAGCTAAGAAAGCCATCTTGCTATTCAATCCATCTTACATACACAAACTCTGCTACCTGTTAACTGAAAAATTATTACAAGCTAAATTTTTTTATTTCCTAAAGTTATTACCAAGTGGCTAGTTTTATTTTACTGCTAATGAACTAGCTTACCCTTGCATATTAGTATATGTAATGGAATATTCATTTGGGGAAAACTGTACCTTTTAAAGCAAGCAATTTTTCTCAAAATCTTGCTCTTGTGTTAATTCTATTCCTCAATTCCTAGAGATCAGCGTTTCATGTTTTAAGCACTCACTGGCTAATCCTCTAATGGAAATAGGTTTGCTCCGTATGTATTCTGAAAGATGCAGATATCTGTATTCACTGATAACTGTATTCAAGGTAAACTGGATAATGGCAGCATCAAGAACCCACTGTACCAAAGTTTAAAAACAGAACTAGAGATTATACTTCTCTCTTTACATGAAGTAAGATATTATGTTGTTAAGCCTCTTTACTAATAAATGTTCTTACTTCTGCTTTGTAATCCAGGACCTTATTTTAAATCTCCTCCTAAACGTTATCTGTTTTATTTGTTCTCACACCTTTTTTGTGTGCTTTCCTGCTTTTAGTTCACTTCAAATCTCTTCATTAGTCCACCAGTGACAATTACATTAAATTCAATCTTTCCGGCTGGCGCCGCGGCTCACTAGGCTAATCCTCCACCTTGCGGCGCCGGCACACCGGGTTCTAGTCCCGGTCGGGGCGCCGGATTCTGTCCCGGTAGCCCCTCTTCCAGACCAGCTCTCTGCTGTGGCCAGGAGTGCAGTGGAGGATGGCCCAAGTGCTTGGGCCCTTCACCCCATGGGAGACCAGGATAAGTACCTGGCTCCTGCCATCGGATCAGCGCGGTGCGCCGGCCGCAGCGCGCAAGCCGCGGCGGCCATTGGAGGGTGAACCAACGGCAAAGGAAGACCTT